TAATATTCAAAACTTATGATATTGAAATATTATGTTGACATACTATTGAGTTAATGATAAAGTTCATTTCTGCTCTTTCCGATGAGGTGATCACACAGAACTCGCTACCTCACACTGGCTCACCACCTCTGCAGACTGTGACACAGCACGAATGAGACTCAGCTCGTCTCTGTGCGACATCTACTGGAAGACTCAGCGGGGTTCTTTACATTCAGTGCGTTAATAGAATCTGCGTCCATGCATTGAATTTAGTTGAGCTTTTACGACACACAAAACTCAAAATTTCCTAAAATATTTACATCAATCAGCCGGTCACGGTAGCCGAGCGGTCTAAGGCATGAACTGTCTTCGCTCGCTCGGAAGCCGGGATCGTGGGTTCGAATCCTACACAAGGCATGAATGTTTGGTATGTTTATTCTGTGTTTAAGTAGAGGCGTTGCGATGAGCTGGTCACTCGTCCAAGGAGTCCTACCGTGTGTCAAATGATCATGAAACTGAAAATCAGAGGCCAGGGCCCAAGGGGCTGTACAGTCAGTGATAAAATATTGCATCAATCGTTGTTTTAAAATTGATAAAATTCTGTACAACCACGCATTAAAAAAAAACCCTTCGCCTTATACTGGAGCAAATGTGCCACGACTGTTTTCCTGATACTGAAGTTGGGAACCACTTCGTGTACCCCCTACATGCGCCCTATTTCTCAAAAAATATTAGCGGAGCATATCCGCGTATGTAACCCCAATCATGAGATTATGCTAAGTCGTTTCAATTTGTTGAGGTAAGTATACAGCCATTGGTCTGTTATTTTCTTCAATAAAAATCCATACAGGAAATAAAAACTCACTATAGCATAGCTCAATAGCCATATAATGCAGTTTTCTACTTTTTTTTGGTAATATATTTGTGTTTTATATAACAAAGATTTTTCATCTAATCTACAATACGCTGATATAACTTACACTACATAAAGTGCATACTCCAAAGCACGATTGACACAAGACTGATTACAGCCTGCCTGTCTCTATAAGACCGGTTTCATCTCACAGTGCAAGGCCTGACAACCTGATAGTGCCCATTCACTCCCATGCAAACTGGATGCGATTTTGTACATTCTGTCCCCTTCTGCCGAGCAGAAATCTGAGAAACACGGTCTGTTGTTTGAGAATCTTACCTTACGGTTATTAAAAGTACGGGAAGGTTGGAGAGACGTCGGTTCACACAATATCTGCACGGCGCCACATGCCAGAAGACGGCAATCTTCATAGTCACCGCCGTGAAAACCTCAAATCTTACATACGGAAAGGCTGTTTTTTGCAATTTCTTATCTGCGTGAATTATTTTACTTCATACAACTAAATACTTCCAAAATTTTCGATAAGTTAAGTGAAATCTTGGAGATCACTATTGTCTGGACGTTTGCCCAGAACAATGGGGTGGACAAGCAATCCGCAACAAGTTTTTTTTTTATCTCTAGGATAATGTCTGCTTGGAAGACTTGAGAAATAACGGGAGAATACATTACGATGGCTCTTAGGGGGATGGCTCTTAGGGGGATGGATTGGCAGGGGAACTCATTTAGGATTTTCTAGTGGCAGGCTTTGGTAGGATCGATTTGCGACGTTGCGACCAGTGTTCTTTAAAATCTGACGTATTTACACACATGTTCATAAATCAGAGAGTACACAGAACGGTCCGTTTGGACTATAACATTATATTCGAATGCCGGTTGTTTAAATATTTGTTGGACTAAGACGAAAGGTTTTTTGTAATAACTGCGAACCGTTTATTTTCATAATGACCTGCATCTTGTCACAAACACATCTCGAAGCAGTACAGATCTGATTTGTTGTTTTTCGAATACATACTCAAAATTTCGCATTTTTATCGAGTTAGTCTAATTTTAACGATCTTTATGTTAATATATCTTGTCTATAAACACGACCTCTGCTCTTATGTTTTAGTCTTGGCGAAAAACAACCGCTCTTGTCATGTCTTCATATTAACATATCACGGAAACATACAAAACAAAATAGCACAATTAAAATGGTTTATACAGCAGTTGCAACAAAAGTTTCCGAGCTCTCTCATAAACAAAACTTTAGTTCCAGTCTACAGTGTTATGTAAGCCTGCCTTCCAGTTCAATGTTTAATGCGATACGGTGGGTCTGTTACTCTGTAAGATGGCAGAATCATTCATTAAATGGCGTTAATACTACTACTGACTCTCTTCTTTTACCTCCGGGCTGTGACACTGCATGTTACGCCTCTGCCAAATTAACTGTTACAGTCAAGGGGACAACAATATTAAATTTGAAACGTAATTTGTAATAGCCTATAAATATTCGGGGATATATAAGTTACATAACAATCGGAAGGCTAACAGGCTTTACTCTATCAACAGGATAATTTTAAAAAGGATAACACTATAAAAGTTTCCCCATTACGTACTTGTTTTGTTATCAGATTTAAACATAATCTTTAACAGAATCCGTCTGATAAATTTGAAATAATGTCTAAAACATACATAAAATTCCATTTCATATATTACTGAAGTCTTCTGCCCATTTTTCCAGACCTTTTAGAGCAAATGTCTGTATCTGAAATTTTGCGCAAATTTTGGAAACTTGAATGGGATTTAAAATTACGTAAATATTCTAAGAACAGAGGTACTAATACAGCTTCAGCTATGACACTATTATCCTCAGTTTCCAAAGTATTTACGAATTTATCTTTCTTTCTACAGAGTTTCTCCCAACAATCCAGCAGTTTGTGCAACAGTACCCAGTTAGTTTCCAGGATTATTCCAAATTCAGTTTTCGTATTGCAAAAAGCCAAAATGTTTCGGCTAGGGTTGCAGTTACTTGGGCACTAGGTGAGAAGCAGGTTGGCAGGCCAGACATGGCGAGACTGCTCGAGTCAATACAGGTCCTCTCTTACTTTGGCTTTCCTGAACAGGGGCATAGGCGGCTTGTACTGCCATCGGGGTTGGAAAGGAATCGGGGAGGAGACGGAAAGACCAAACAAATACTAAAGAACAGAGGAGGAAAGAGATTTCAGTTTTATCACATTTATGTACTGTACAGTTAACAAAAATATCCAAAGCTCCTTTTACAGCATCCGATTATACTTTCAAAATTAAATATCAAATTATAATAATTTAGGTTACAAACTAAAGCATACATTTACATTATTCAGGTGTAAAATTCCAGGAAAACATCTTAAAAAGAATGACGATTATGGTTTCAAGTCTTTAGGGCGGTAGGACTGAAAGTTTTATAAATATACATTTTGTTAAACAATTGCAACATAATTTTAAATTCTGAAGTTCGGAAGCCAAACTCCACATGCGAGAATACTTACAGAGACGTCAGTACTTTTCAAAATACATCCAGCTGAAGTGTGGATACACGGATGTGCGACATCGGTAACAAATTATGAAACGGTCAATTTCGTCGGGTTTGAGCTAATCACCTGGGCTGAATAATGGGCCAGGCGTTGTGTGCCGAACTCTGAATATGTCGGTTTCAAATCAGAATTTGGCCTAACCGATAAAAGCAGCTGCGCAATTTTACCTTTACCTTATACACATTCGTAATACGGGAAAATGTTATTGTTTGTGTGTGGTTCCTAACAGAAGGGAAGTTTACAGTAAAATTGTGTAATCCACGTTCTCCGAATCAAAACGTGTTGATGGAAAGCAGTCAATATGATCAGTGAGATTTTTTTACGTAATTTTGATGCAAATATAACAAATGAAGGCGTAAACAGGCGCTTATGAACGTCGGAACTACACAATACTTAAGTCTAGCAGGACCAATCAAAGCAATATTTTGTTTTAGAATATAAAAATAAAGTCTTATAATTTCTTGTATTTGTCTATCCAAATTACATATTATTTGGATATGTTATGAATAGAAAAATTCTTGCTACATTGTCTAGAACATATTACGGCTTAAAAAAATCTAAAACTCCGTGGTTTTAGTCCGCAAGCGAACTATTCCGCCCGAGCGACAGCCGCGTAGTCAGTGCAACGAATCCCCACGGCATATTTTTATATAATTCTATAATATGGAGTAAAACTTCTCTCATGGCTTAGCATGACGCTATGACAACGCATTGTGACGTGGAAGTGAATACGTTGCTCTAGAGAGTGACAACAGAAAAATGGGCTGTTTTCCTGGTGGGGAAGGGCCTATTTTACCGGTTGCATTTGCAAAATATCTGGTCATGGGCCCCAGCTGGGGCTCGACAACAAGACAGACGGACTGACTGACTTTGAGGCTCTGTGAAGTCTAGAGCTGGTCTGGACAAAGCAACTGCGAAGACGTTATGCCCCTTCTGTATCCAGGAAGTGGGCCCCCGGCAGTCCGGGGAACAGATAATAACCTGACAGCAATTTGATAACAGGAATTGTGTCTACTTAATTCCGGTAATAGTCTCATATAGCCTTCTTGCAGGAAGTTCTTTGTATTCGCAAGGGCATCCTTATGTTCTTTTTTTGTGAATAATCTCGAATATGTAATTCGTGATGCGGTCATATACTCTGAAAATATTTGTAAGCCTATGTAATATTTACATAAATTATGTTTTACTACTTTCTCTTCGTGGCTTTCATATTTCGAGTTACACTGGTAACGTGGGAGGCGCGGCAGTGCTGATGGGACAAAATGAAACTCTAAATTCCACGAGATTTTGTGGGTGTAATGTCAACTGCGAGCGCCACTGAGTTAGATGCGGACAGGCTGCTTTAAGATCGCGGAGATGGTCCACGGGATAGTTCTCAAAGACAGTTCAGTTTTTTTTAAATTCGCTTAATGGGGGGGTGGAGTCCAACTGGGTCCACTCGGCACAGCGGCCACTGATTGGCCAATTATAGCCTAACCCGGGTCATTATGATGATGGAGAATTTGGTGGAATGAAGACTGGCAGGGGAAACCGAAGTACTCGGAGAAAACCCGCCCCAATACCACTTTGTCCACCACAAATCCCACTTGACCAGACCCCGGGATCGAACCCGGGCCGCCGCGGTGGGAAGCCAGCGACTAACCGCTTGAGCTATGGCGCGGCCAAGGGAGTTCAGTTACTGAGAATTCATTACGGGGATGCTGACCACTGATATTAGTTGGAATTCTGTAAGAACGTTTCTGGATTCGAAGCCATTTCAATCTCACTTACTGAAAACCGAAAATAAAACAAAGAATGTTTTTGCACACTCCGTTAATATTTTAATTATGAAAATCTGAGCCACTTTTTCCCACGATATTAAAATGAAATTCAATGTAAATTCATTGTTAAACACAAAACCCTGTAATACACGCAGATAAATTTGCTTTATAGTTTCGAAAACTTCGGGGAATGGACTTTTTCATTGGTGATAATACTTCAAGAGTCCCCTCGCATACAGCGAATAGGTGTTTCGATTTATCGACAAATTAATATTACAATATGGATATAATGAAGTGCTTCCTTTCAATTTTAGATGTTCACTGTCAAAAACCCCTTTTCAATGCTCTGTGCTGAAACTTGTCTAAATGTTCAGAAACGAAAGTGTCACACACAAAGATGATCTTCTGTAATCAGCAATACTGTAATAAAAATCATTTTCTGGAGCAATGGATATTTTTTTAAAAATATTTAAAAACCCCATTTTTATAATAATAATAATTACAATAATAATCTTTCGATAATGGCAACACAGTCCCTTTTGTCTTCTGGAGACCTCGAACAACGGTCCTGTAGCCTACAAAATGTCATTTATTGTCCGCCACAGATTCTTATAATTAAAACTGACAACTACAACAATTACAGAAGGAGCCCATTCCTTCGTTTGCTTTCACTAATTTTCCACTAATAGCAAGTACTCCGTTCCCTGTTAGGTTTGCAGCACTGTCGTCACCACCAATCACTTGCCCTCCTTTCGTCCCTTCAACAGTTTCCTGTTCTGTGGCCACATCTATACGAAATGTGATGTCATTTTATTTGCTTCATTTCGTGCAGTTCATGAGGCTCGTACGCGTAAGTATCGGGTGACATTCTGAAAACGCATTTTGTTTTTATCAGTCTTTAACATAAATATTGCAGTTCAGATTCACAGTCAATGTTCGCAGCTCAGCATCTGTTCAGGTACCACGCAACGCGAAGATACAATTCGAATACTGTTCAGCTGATAAGACTTTAAAGTACAGAGTTGTATGGGCTCTGAAGGTGGGACGTTTGTATCTGTGTAACCGATACTGGCTACCTTCCGTTTATTTCTCAGGGCAAATATGTGAGATCCAGTATCATTTCATGGGCCTTTCTCGTGTATCATTTAATTTGCCTTATTCATTTTTTTCAGTAATTATTATAACAGAATCCACAGACTGAGGTGCATGTATCTGCATAGTGCAGTAATTTCTACAAAAGAACCCAGTAGAAGTACGACTAAAACTTTATAAGTAGGACCTCTTTAAATAAATTTTAAATTCTTACCACAAGCATCTCCATTACAAAAACTTGTCAGTTATTTGGTTTCTATGGAAACAATCACTGCTTGTTGTGAGAATAAAACAAAATTAACTACAAAGTATCATGTTATTTAAAGTTACTGAAGGTGGTATGTATAGTTCCTACCGCGCTTAAAGGGTTAAGGCGCAAAGTATCCCTAAGTATGGCAAGGCACAGCTGAATCTGTGTACTGAAAATTTGGGTGATTTAAGACTGTCTAGCACTAAGGTACAGGTATCAGCAAAAAGGCGTAATATTTGAAGAGATCTCCGACTTCGTTACAAATCTAAGATCAATTTGTGTGATATCTGAGGTTCTCATGGCAGTGACCCTGAAGATGGAGGCAGTACATTCCTCCGAAACGTCGGTAAACTTCTACATGGCTCCATATCCCAGACTTCAATACTGTTTAACGTCATGACACCGCTTTATGGCTCTGTAAGGCCAAGGGCGGTTATGTCGCAGGGAGCGGACCGAATAGGGAACACCGCGAACAGTGACTGTCTGTGACTTTGTCGCCGAACCTCATCGTGGGGGCCACTTGGGTGGATGCACCTGGGGTCAGGCTTTATTTAGGGGTGCTTGCTGCAGCTTCCCGACGTCCTGTGAAGGGGCGTGCTGTTCCGCTGCAGTACCCGACCCTCCTGAAGACGACGACGACGACGCTCCCGACGACGCCGGCGCAAGTCCTAGAGTTCCGGCGCCTCCATTGAGAGCGAACGGCGCCCCCGTGCCGCTCCCCACCGCAGCTGCTGCAGCCGCCGCTACTGCGGCCTTGGACAGCACGGATGACAGTGGCGTGATTCCTGCCCCCGGAGTTCCGGTGGGGCTTGCCCCGGTACCCAACCCTGCACCAAATGTCCGTGAGTATGTCTCTAGCAGCGACACGTCCCCTGCATTTCCACCTCCCGCCCCTGCCAGGTGTGTGGCTGGTCCATAGAAGCTCCTGTAGAAGTCGTGGTGCGTGGGTCTCGAGTAGGAACCCGCAGGGTGGTGCACGGAGGGGTGCAGATGGTGCGGGTGCAACGGTCCCCGGTTTGCGAGGGGCGAGATCAGCTTCCCCGCCGCAACAGCCGCCGAGTAGAACGCTGAGGTAGACACGGGCGTCGCCAGGTGGTGTACGTCACTGTCCTTGCTCGCCATGTCCGCAAGTGACCATATCCTGGGCTTGCTGGGGTTAGACCCGCTGGCACCGCTTGGAGGCGGCGGCGAGGGGGCAGACGAGGGGTTGGGGCCTAGAAGCCGGGGGTGGTATGCAGGGTGCAGAAGGTGAGGTGGTCGCTCGAACAGGCACTCGGGAGAGTCGGGCCGAGACTCGGACCACTCGCTGCCCGTGTCAAGACCTCCGCCGCCCGTCCCCGGACCGCTGCCCCCACATGGACCCCTCTCCAGGAGCTCCAGTCGGTGGTGTGCCGGCCGGTCCCCGTCCTCACTAGAGCCCGTGCCGGAATCCTTGGAGTCTGCAACAAGAGACCACGTCTCACACTGCATGATAACTTAATTTTGCTGTGGGCTGAAACAGCCTTGGGAATTTACATTTTATCTTATGGCGTTACACTGAGAACTATGACAATTCCTTGTAACAGTTTAGTGCAGGTTGGTTCTTTCCAGATTTGTCAAAATCAAAAATGTTTAGTAAACTGAAATTATAATAATGTAATATTTGTATTTTTAGACGATATGGGGTGAAAATAACATTTCCAAACTTTTAATGCCAACCTTCTGTATTAAATGTTGTCGTGCTCTTTCAGTGAGCAGGCGCAAAGTTGTTTTGTGCTGTCACGCGGTTACAAAGTAACAACACCTTCAGATACTTCATGTTTTGTTATGAAGAAACAGCACAGCAATTTCAATGATCCAATATTACCCATGCGGTCCCAAAGTTCCACCAGTTACAGGCAAAATTACAATTAGGCCCCTGTGTTATGTATACTTTTATTATTTGCATAGTGTGGGGTGGAGTCCACTTGGGTCCACTCGGCACGCCGGCCACTGGTTGGCCTATTGTAGACTGCCCCCGGTGATTATGATGATGGAGAATTTGGTGGAATGAAGATTGGCAGGGGAAACCGAAGTACTCGCAGAAAACCTGCCGCAGAGCCACTTTGTCCACCACAAATCCCACTTGACCAGACCCGGGTTTGAACCCGGGCCGCCACGGTGGGAAGCCAGCGACTAACCGCTTGAGCTATGGCGCTGCCTTATGTATACTTTGTTATCGACAAAACGTATTTCATAATATCATATTTCATTACTGTGAAATAATACTGGTAAGGACACACTGTTCAGTGCCCATCTGACGTAACCTTCATCTGCATTACGTCTATCCAAGGCGTTCCACTATCAAGGTGATCAAACATCTCAAGATTAAATATATATCCAAAACGTGCGCATTTGCATTCATCTGATGTGAATATTCAATTTAGTGCTTACAAGAATTATAACAATTAAGTCTGGCATTAAAATCCTTGGTCCTTCAACAGTCCGATCAACGGTAAAGTCGGTTTTATGAATATTTTTATGATTTGTCGATTGGCAACACTGCAAAGGTGGGGATGTAAGAAAACCCATCAAAGCAGCGCTGACATGTGCTGTAATACGAGGCATACAGCACGGCTTGGGTAAACGCACGGACAGTTTTCGTGCACCTTGTTAAACTTGTGGTCTGTGTCATATTGTGATATCTCGCAGTGTACTTATAGTGATGTGTTTTGTGAATTCTGTGATAATGGACTGCATTAACGGGTGAAGGGTGAGTACAAGTTTTATGTTAGATACCTTATTAAAATTCTTGTACTGATAAATCTCGTTTGAATCTTGGAGATAACCCGACGGAATATATGTACCAGAGTTAGACCCAGCTAAGCGGCCTCCGTAGTCTAGAGGTAACGTTCACACCTCATGACTCCTAGTACGCGGGTTCAAATACCCGGCGGAGGTCGTCGAATTTTTAAGGGCGGAAAAATTCAGGGAACAAGTCCTCCGGGAGGGACTTTAAGCCGTGGGTCCCGTGTCGTAGCTTTACGGCACGTAAAAGAACCTCATGTCTCCAAAGGAGGCCACTGAGCAAAACTGCGGACGTTTCCCGCCCAACAGCAGTCTCTAATACCTCTGGTAGATGGGGGAAGCATTATAGATACGGCCAAGCCAGTAGAGCCGGTCTCGCTGGCTGGGCGGGACTGATGGTAAGCACCAATACCGGTAGGATATAGAGGCTGGTAGAAATCATAGAGGGAAGCACAATGGACCACTACAGGTCTAAGTGAATCGGGAAACCCACCCTCTCTAATAACTAACTAACTAGACACAGCTATCGAAAGAAACACTAATTCTTGTAACAGCAGCCAACAGGCTCGTGTCACATGCCTGAAACATAAAGATCTGTGAAGGATGGCGTTCAGATAATGTTACAGGTATTTATGTTAACAATAACAGATAACATTAGAAGAATCTCTACTTTCTAAGATTGCTGCAATAACAGGCAGCTACGGGCTGCTATTGATTCGTGGTTTATTTTAAAACAACATCAGTACACTGGACTATTTATAGTTGAATGGTAGGATCCTTAATGATGAACTGAAAGGCATCTCGGCCGGAACAGATCTGAAATTAGGCCACGACCGCTTCCTTCTGTATCACCTATTCTAATTCATAACAGCCTAATCTTTCCGTCTCATTCAAAGCTGCATAACCCGTACGGTTGAAAGAAAGTGGTTAAATACTCTTAATTTGTTATGTTTAACGTTGACGGGAACTTCCTGTTCGTGGTGCTGTGTAAGTACCAATTGCCCCATTGGACTGCCCCACTGAGCTGTCTGATTCTGCATACACCGCTCTGCTATGCGCTGCTACAAGCGGCAATACACTACGCTTGGTACTGGCGCATGCGTACTTCGAAAAACGTTGTGCAGCCACCCATTGCAGTTATCAGTTCCTGAACGTTTTGTGTTACTCTGCGTTTTAATAAACCTGTCAGGTTTATTATATGTACAACTCTTTTATTCACCGTCAAAACACAACATATAGAAAAAAATCAGGGTTAGCGCCCAGCTATGGCTTCGCTACATGTTTCAGCCACTACCGACCGTCATCAGGCAAACACATATTAACAAACATATACCATTGAACTGCTGTACAATAGATTGGATACAATGTTAAAATACTTTGTCTAAAAATACAATAAGTCACATTATATTAAAAAAATTGAACTGAAAGTTATTGTATAAAACAAGATAAAACCTAATTTTAGCAGTCTATTTATAAAATGAGCCGCTTCTAAGACAACCGGAGCTCACAATCGACTGTTTGTCTCGTGGTGTTCCANATATGTAAAAAATCTACGAAAGTCTCGCTAAGTCTCCCTTATAAACCCTCTGTCGGACAGCGGAAAACCCATATCGCTTCACTGTTGCGTAAACGTCGCGTTTACAGGCGTCGCTGGGAAACGCTGCCGGGAGTTGTTTATTGCTGCGTAGCAACCAGCGCGCTTCGACTCGGCTCACTTCGGCTCTACTCGGCACGGTACGGAGAAACACCGCTTTCCTTACTGTTGCGTAACTTGGCAACCGACCGTTTATCAAGGTCTGTCTTCGTGGTAACTCGTTCCACCTCCCGTTGCCCGTTGTCAAAATATATTTCCATAAAATTTTGTAATAAAATTGTGGATAAATTTTGTTTTTGCAGGCCTGCTTAGCACAGCATATCATTGTTACTTACATGAAATTCAAATTTAATTTTTTGTCACTTTTAAAAACAGCCGGGATAGCTCAGTCGGTATAGTGGGTGGCTACGGGCTGGACGACCGAGGAGTCAGAGTTCGTGTCCCGGTAGGGTCAAGAATTTTATCTTCTACACAACGTCCAGACCGGCTCTGGGCTCCACCCAACCTCCTATACGATGGGTACCTGGGTCTCTTTCCCCGGGGGTAAAGTGGCAGGGGCGTGAAGCTGACCATACACCTCCAACTAGTGCCGAGGTCAAGATAATGTGGATATACACATCCACTCCCCCATGCGCCTTCATGGCGCAGTGCTTCATTAGTTAAGCACAGGAGCAACTTTACCTTTTTGCGTATCACTTTAAAAATGAATGGCCCATCGTATAGGAAACTTGGTAGGCTACAAACCTCATTAATTAGTATCTGTGTTTTATTCCACATTATTCTTTATGTCATGATTATTTAATTAAATGCAGCAAAACTTAATGTGTGCAAGTGTCTATATACTGCGAAGAACTAAACAGCTATACATCTATATTTTGAATAAATAACTTCCAAGACTCATGAATCGTCCAAGTTTTCAAAGAATTAATTTGAAATATATATATATATATAGTGCACACTGGAATAAGACTTGTCCGTTTGTGTTTCTTCCATGTCAAAAGAAAATATGAAGAGAAAATTTTATGTTTACGCCTGCCTGCCAGTTACAGTGCCGAAACTAAACTAGCTGCCCCATTTGATCAAACTCGGCATGCTATGCAGAAACATTTTTTTTCATTCAAACAGATGGAGAGATGGCATTAAAATGGGTATTCCAGCTATAGGATGGAGTGGGATGGACTGGTTTCGTCTGGCATAGGACAGGGACCAGTGGAGGGCTCTTATGAACGCGGTGATAAACCAGGTTCTGTAATATATCTGGAAATCCGTGAGTAGTTCAGCGACTGTTGTCTTTTCAAGGACTCCGCTCCATGCAGTTAATCTGATTTTTCTTACAAGCAAGCATGCATTTCCATTTAACTGTACGGTAATTATGATTACAGTGGCAGCGCAGGCCACTGTCTTGTACCGCTCCTGGAATCGTAGGTTCGAATCTCACACGAGAAATGGATGTATGTCTACTTTGTAAGATTTGAGGTTTTCACGGCGGTGACTATGAAGAATTCCATCTTCTGGGATGTGGTGTGGTATAAATCTTGCGTAAACCGACGTTTCGGAGGAATGCGTCGCCTCCATCTTCAGTGTATAAAATCCGCAGGCGAGGAACCAGCTCCTTACGCTGGTTCCTCGCCTGCGGATTTTATACCCTGAAGATGGAGGCGATACATTCATCCGAAACGTCGGTTTACGCAAGATTTATACCACGTCACATCCCAGAAGACGGAATTCTTCATATGTCTACTTTATTTCTATGTTTCTCTTCTATGTAGGTAGACACCGTGCGCCTGGCCGATTTCTCTTGTAAGGAGTGCTGTCAGATGTTTATAAATAAGGTTATGAAACCCGAAAAGTATGTCCTTGGACCTCACTGCTGTGTCTTGCCATACAGGAAAAGATAAGGGCCTATATTTTTTAGTCTTGTTACGGATCCGTATGGAGGAACCTGATACACCGGTATTACCACCTGTAGATTTCACTTACATAAATTCTTTAGGGCGCGTTAATTAGGAGCCCGTACATATTAATCGTATCCTGCCGCCCGAAAAAGAAACACTGGTACACTAGTTAGTAACCGAAGGTGTTTTCTTGGATGTAGGAATCGAATTCCTAAATAGGATTCAAATCATCTACGTAGGAGAAGGCTTCCAGAGCCGTCAGACAATGAAATGTGATCTTGAGTCCCATGGGACTCCGAACCAAGAATCACTGTGCTGGCGAGGACCAGCAGCAGTTTAACAGGCCGCCGTAACAGAGATACGACGGGTCGCTTTTCTTTGGTGTCAGGAGGCGAATATTATTTTGGTAGCCCTTAGTTAGTTAGTTATTTAGAGAGGGGGGGTTTCCCCATGCACCGCGACCAGTTTGATCTATTGTGCTTCCTTCTATGATATTCTACCAGTCTCTATACCCTACCGATAAATGGTGCGTACCATCAGTCCCGCCGAGCAAACGAATTCGGCCACTAGCTTAGCGGTGTCTATAATGCTTCCCCTATCTATCAGAGGCCTTAGAGACTACTGTTGGGCGGGAAACGTCCTGGAATTCGGCTCAGTGATCCCCTTGGGGATATGAGGTTCTTTTACGTGCCGTAAAGTTACGACATGGGACGCCGCGTACTACGAGTCATGAGGTGGGAACGTTACCTCTAGACTACGGAGGCCGCTTTAGGTAGCCCTTCGTAATAGTTCGTTTTCTTGGAAGTATCAACCAGATCTTGTAGCACTTACACGAACCATAACCAAAATAATAAAATTTGAAAACGTCACTAACTTTTTTTTTCTGGTTCCCCATTAAGTTAATACGAACGTTACCGGCCGCGCCATAGCTCAAGCGGTTAGTCGCTGGCTTCCCACCGCGGCGGACCGGGTTCGATCCTGGGGTCTGGTCAAGTGGAATTTGTGGTGGACAAAGTGGCGCTGGGGCAGGTTTTCTCCGGGTACTTCGGTTTACCCTGCCAAGCTTCATTCCACCAATTGCTCCATAATCACACTCGCCTATCATCTGGGGCTGGTACAATAGGCCAGACGTGGCCGCAGTACCAAGTGGACTCACTCCCACCCCGCCAAGTAATAAAAAAAAATACGAAAGTTCCACTGGGGTCACTACTCACCGGGATCCTTAACGTTGTCGGCGCTCTTTCGCCCGCTAGCGCTTCCATCGTCCTCATTATTATTATCCTCGTCTTCGACGCGGTTCCTGGGCTCCCAAGTCATCTTATTCTCCTTCTTGAGGCGACGCCGGGCGTTGGCAAACCATGTGGATACCTGGGTGAGCGTCATCTTGGTGATAATGGCCAGCATGATCTTCTCGCCCTTGGTGGGGTACGGGTTCTTCTTGTGTTCGTTGAGCCACGCTTTCAGCGTGCTTGTCGTCTCTCGCGTCGCATTCTTTCTTCTCGCACCGTTCAGATCCATACCGTATCTGAAACAACAAATGCACGTAAGATTTTGGTTTGGAAAACTGAAAGTAAGATATTGGATTGCGGTTCTCACAGCTGTGTTGATGGAGTGTTCGGGCAAGTGAACTGACCTTTCGGCGGAACATATCGTCTCTATTTTCAGGGTCGCCGAATAAGCCAAGAAAGAAACCAACACGAAACAGGCAGCAAGCATAGCCATTTTGACCTCGACGATGTACGCGACATGTTCCTCGAAACGTCGATTTTCTCCGGGACTACATGGCGTTGTATCCCAAAAGACGACTTACATATTACTCGTAGAAGTACATGGGAGGCTAAGTGTCACAAGGGATATGAATGTAGGGAGCTACAAGCTACACGAAGATCACTTCCTGGATGACCGCACCTTGAACTATCGAATTTGTTACAGCGGAGACTTTCAAGGAGGCCCTGCTTCATGGAGTTAAGTTTGTTGTAACAGTATCTCCGGGTTATCGGTCGCAACTCAAAGCAAGCGATGGAAACAACCAATTCCTCCGTGCAACTTGCTGTCTGAAGTGAACTGAACCAACTTCTGACAGTGTTAATATTGAAACGAGACTATCGATATATGTTACGAGAAGGATAAGTCCGGAAACTCACATTAGCATTCGGTTCAAAGACTACTTATCTGCCACTTCCCACAGCACCAACTGTGGTGTGTATTGTTTCTATGAAAACGTGTTCCCCTTAAGGGAATAACATAAACTATGAAGAAATTATGGAATGTGAAGTCGTTTGGTCTGGTAGACTGTTACCTAAAATCTAAAACGGACATAAATTATAATATTCCAGGCATATCTAGGATACAGATATCCATACACGCTTTTGTCTAAGTCATGAAATCTTGGTGGTTATGATGGGCTAAAATGCATACAGAAAATGTACGCTCTGTTTCAAATTTTGGAAGGGAAACTTGTTCGAAAGTATGCGTCTACCAGCACAAAGGATTAACGTTGGAAAGGATCGTAAGGAAATACGCCGTATGGATTGGAAGTGGATGGGTGTTTCAGGCTCGTGCTGTATGGCGGGATTTGCTATTATCTGTGTTGATCTTCGGATGTTACTGATACGAGGGTAAGTCCTTAATCAGTGCATAGAACTTAGTGTACATACGGGTCTACACACACACACACACACACACATATATATAGTGACGCACTGCTAGGCAACGGCTCAATAAGCACCTTCCCGCGAAGACAGATTCTTGGTAAACAACCCGTCACGTGGTAACACGTCTCTACAGCAAAAGAGGGTTTCTATGTGGTCAATGCAGAGGCTATTTAACGAGAATCTATAGCTAAGATTTAATGAGAATTAGCATTGGAGAATTGGGCCCCGTTCTATAGGGTCGGCATTCCAAGGTCACTGAACAAGAAATGGCATAGTAAATTGAAGTGATAGTTCCTGTGTTAAAATCCGTTGCCAGGAAACGGACATTGGAAACATTGTAAAGACAGAGCCATTGTTCTGTTACCTAGCAACGACTAGTTGAAGGAGATATTGAAGACTTTATTTATATGTTATAATTACAGTAATCCTTAGTGCTATAAGTTTTGTAGTTACAACTAGTGAATATCTAGTCAATCCAATCACAGAATCTTGAACCCACGATTATTCGTCACGCTAAACCATATACGTGACAGTTTACTGCAATATGGAGACATATGTAGGGTTCCATGTACACGTACATAGATATTTTACAAGTATAATTTGGTGTTAAAATCTTGTGAGCGACCAGCCCGCGTCACTTTGAAGACCGGAACTCGCCCGAGCTGATCCTGCCACTTCCAGCTTCTATGAGAACTTCAGCTGTTACGCTCAGATTACTTACTCGTATAAATACAATGTAAGTTCCTCGATACCCGTTTTCCACTTTTAAACATGAATTTTACTGAATTTTGTGTGGATGTGTGTGTGTG